GAAGCGATTTTAGCCGATAGGTAAAAAAAATTAGCTTCCGTTTGATTAAATTCTGTCATTAATGCAAGTTGCTCATTTAGTAAGAATAACTCCTCATAAAAGTCCTCATATATCTAAAAGTGTGTTATGAGCCAAGCTTAATGTAATTTAAGGCCACTGACCTCCGCGTTTTTGATATTAGCTGCATCTGATAATTGTTTAATTTGCAAAACCAAAATATCATGCTTAACCTTAATGGCATAAATTTATGTTGTTGTTTGTGACATTTTATCTATTTTTTTTATGTTTAAAAAACAATAAAGCAGCTGCAGCCGATTTATTCACTCTAATATGTATACGCTCGATAAATTTTTCATCAACGATCTATATAACAAACACAAGAATACAGTATACATTCGCCAAATGCTTGAAACTGCATGTACTTAATTAAGAGATCACTTGCAAGCCTTATCAAAAAAAGATTTTTTTTTTCTTTTTAAACTCCTAAAGAAAAACAAAAAAATGTATCTGTACTTAAGGCCAACGTAACAATTGCTCTGCCTCTGGACAGTTGGAAGCAATGGAGTAGTTGTTAACGTGAAGTTTGTTATCCAGAGTGTCTTTTGATGATGTTGTTAATGAGCAGCTTGTTGTACGATTGTCAGTGCAAGCGTGATGCGTAAACAAGGTTATGAAAAGCAAGTAAAAAGATAGTTTATTACGATACTAGTGCGTGAGGAAGGCGATTGACGCACGCGTGTGTCAATCACCTAACCTCTCGCAAGTGTGGTGTATACAACTTTTCGACACATCGTGCGTGGGTAACGAGTTTATGAGCCATCTAATGTGGCTCTGCAAATATTTCGACGTACACTCGCACTCGCACGAGTTGTGAGTCGCTTGTGTAACTCGAGGTATTTAGAGCCACAACAGATGGCTCACAATCGAGGTCCCCGCGCACAGCGTGTTGAAGAATCCATTGAGAAACTCACACCTCACAGGAGTCACCGAAAAACATCTATGATGGACGGGTGACTTTGGTCGCTTGGAAGTACAAGATACCAATTGATTTTCCCTACATTAGTAGTTTAATTTTATAAATTTAGTTATGAGAAATAAAATGAAAAGCTTTAAAACCAAATTACAAGATCTTATTTATTTATAGATATTACAATACAATTTTCAATTAAATTTAATAATAAAAACAGCACAGACAAAAGTAATAGATAGCATACGTGTGCATGGGCATTGGTCGGTGATTTGAGGCTCCGAGTTAGTAAAAGGTAGGCGCAAAATAGTCCCGCATGACAGCACTGTATGGTACTAGGCACGTAGAGTCTACAGATAGAAAGAGATAGCCTTTGCCAACTGGTAGCGCTAACGCCGAGTGCTTGGGCTTCAAAAAGATGGCTGCCGTATTCCACCGACCGCGTAATGTCTAAAAAGCCGATTATTAACCTCAGTTACGAAATGCACGTAAGCAGACGCAAGATTTTACGCTTTCAAAATTTATTGTGGTACACAATCACGACACTACACTAAACACTTGAAAGAGAATTAGATAAGAATTTTCTACGTATTTCAAGCGTATTTGAAGTTGATAAAGAGCAGAGAGTAGTCGTCTGACTTTTTTTCCATAAAAGGAAGTTAGTAAGTTATTTTGCCATCGATCGTTTTTTAGCGTTATGAAAAAAGAAAGACAGCAACGAAATGCAAATTGCCTCATCAAAACAGTAGAGTAATTTACTAGTATGAGCTGTAACTATAATGTTCAACGGAATAAGTTACGACACTTTTTGCGTGCTTTTTAATTTTAGAAAATATTGAAGGCGATAGCACATGGAAAAAAAATAAAAGTTATTTCTTAGAAGATTTTGTGAATTATAAAAAAGACTTGCTCTTCTACAGATAACCTACAGTTTTTAATCCAAGAATAAATCATGATAATTGTTGAATTTGCTTATCCCAAAGAAATTAACTTTAACTACAATCATAACACTACAGAAGTTGGATTTTCACATGATTAGTTCGATTTATGTTCAGTTAAATAATGACATATAAAAAAAATATTTCTTAAAACTGTCCGTGAGAAAAGTTAATAAATTTCTCTCAATTAATAGTCCTGTATAAGAATGAGAAAAAGTTTTTTTTGTACAAAACATGAATTTACTATTATATACTTTAAGATAAAAATTTTTTATTAATGGCTTGGACTAGGATTGCAGTCGTATTGATTCGAAATCAGAGTTACAAGACTTTTTGCCAACAATTTGACTTAAACAATGTAGAAGGTGTATTTTTAAATGTGGCATTAAAAAAAATAAGTATATGAATTTAATTACATTGTTTAAGGTGAGGCCTTCATGATTTTAAAAAAAGCTTAAGAAATATTCAGAACATTGCGTGATCTGTGTAATAGAAACATGTATTTTGAAAATAGATTAACTGTTTTAGGTGTTAATTTATGCCAAGTTCTGCCTGTCATAAAAAACAGTAATAGAAGTATAAACTGAGACTATGCAATCATCATTTTTATGTACATTTTATATCTAACCATACAAGTTCGTCTGATAAATGTAAATTTTTTAAAATCATTACTAGAAATTATATATGAAAAAATCAAATCATCGAAAATTCCTAGACATACGAAAAATAATATATATTCAAAAATATTTAGTGTATGTAATATGTGTTTGATTCATGAAGTCAAAATGGTATATTTACATAAATTGAAGGTGAACATAATCATGAAATAGAAAACGTTCTGTAGAAAGATAATTTTTATCGAATTGTAGATAAAAAATAATGATTATTAAAGAATATTAAATACCAAATTGTTTAATAAATAAGAAAAAAAAATACTTATTAGGTATTTACTTTTATCGTTTTGTTAAAAGTTAGTTGCAGAGAAATCAAATGTTTTAAAAGTTGTATAGGGCTACTGGTGACTACCATACATTTTTTGTAAATTGACACACTTAAGCCTTTATAATTTAAAAAATGGCGTGAGAACTCATTTTTAAAACAATTATTAGGTGTGGTTTTTTTTTTTGGGGGGGGGGGGGAAAGCTGTGAAAGCTGTAAGAACTTAAAGGGTGACCGTGGGAGGCTTAAGAGGGGTTCAAAAAATTATGGAAGGATTGTTTTGATGACGGTGGGGCATCAAGCAAAATTGTGAAGAGGTCTGTAGGGGTGTGGTGAAAAAAATTTCATAAGTCGAAATAGCGGAGACAAATTAAATTTTTCTTTGGGTTAGGTGGGGGGTCCAAGTGAGGTAGAGGATAGGGTTATGTAGAATGCTCCACATAAACAATGCTATAATATAGGAAGGTATATGATCGAAGACTGATTCCCATACGCCAACAGCTTTGTTCATCGTGGGATCGGTAAGTCCTACGAAATAGATTCCTGTGTTTAATCTTAGGTATTTGTATACATATATGGTACTGTACAGTATTAAGATCCAAACAGGCCATAACGTTTTTAGTGATGGCTTACACTGCCATGTTGGCTGATCCATCGATTTTCTCGAGATCGGTATGTTCTACAAAATATACTACGAATTTCAATTTTTTCTGAGCCTGCGATCAATGGGAAGGCGCCTGTAATTTTCTGGCGTGATTCCGATACGCCAACTAATTTGCTGATCACGAGTTCGGTCCTATAAAGTGAATTCCTGTTCCTTACTTTACATTTATATTTAACGTATAACATATTGTACAATATTAAGCCACGAAATGGCAGCGAAAAATTTTGAACTCCCTTTGTAGCCTTTTCTTTGTAGCCTTTAAGTGCACTTGAGACCAAGGTTTCTACTTGTCTGTTAAAAAAAATAATTTTTCCTTCTACCTCCACCAGAAGTTTGTTTCATCTGACCTAATTTCAGACTAGAAAAGGTCTTATATTAGTCCTGCCAGGACTTGTAATTAAATTTCTGACACATATAACACTCGTATTTCTTGAAATACTTATTGCTTTGTACTTATGAAACTCAATTTTTTTTTAAATGCCTTCTAGTAATATTTTAGTAGTAAAGATTTTCTCTTACCTGTGTTACAAATATTTTGGTAATTAGGTTATGATTGAATTCACACTTGGAAAACATATTTTTATAAATACACAGTAATGGTATTTTATTTATATACTCTTATTTGCCATCTAGTAATTCTGCAAAAAACCTATTTATTTACACTGATAGAATTTGTGAAAACTGATGGCGTTGTGATAACAGTAAAGATGATAAGTAAGCTTAATATGAATGTCTAGTAATTTTTCATTTAGTTAAGAAAGTATATCTATAAACAAAACAAGTTTCTCTGGAATAAGTAAAACGCTGTCTAGGAAGAATATCGTAATTCTGATACTCATGGAATAGGGAGGTAGATATTACTAAAGACTTGAAAGCATGTTATAGGAAAAAATGTGTTTATGCTTGTAAAGGTGGGATAGATAAGAATTGCCAAAAATGTAAGTAAATTATGTAATAAACAATTTATTTCTTATACAAAATATGCTATTAAATTTGTGCTTGTACAATCATCAACAATTGCTAACTTAAATATGTAGATAAAAGTTCTAGACTATTTTTAAATAAACTCATTTCTTACCTTAAGTGCACTAGCTTTATAGGTGTTCTCTTTAACTAAACATTTTTTCTAATTATTTATTATCTAACCAGTGGTTAAGTTACCTTAAATCAGAGTCATAAATACTTACTGAATGAAGATATTTTAAATTTTATTAGCGTGGATAATTTAATACGTTGACTTAAACATTTTTGTTTCTTCGTTAAATATTAAACGGGGGCTTTCAAAGTGTAACCTCTTAAATTTTTTTTGTAATAACACATGTGTTTGATCAATGCTATAATTTGTATTATATTTAATTAGGACAACCACCTAATCAATAGAACATTATATTCTAGCCCACTTGTGTCTATCAATAACACTTTACTACTCCCATCGAATCAACCAATCAAAGTGGTTCATTTAAAAAAAATTTATTTACTGTTTAATTTTCAGTTCTCCAACACATAGCCATGATAATTTCTCTTCATCATCACGCTCTGCTAGTACGACTTCTCAGAGTACTTCCAGATTAATTTCAACAGATTCAGGCCGATCTCGATCTCCTTCTATACCACGTCGATATGGTTCACCTAGTTTTCTTGACAGGAGAAGAATAACAAGGTATGACTCTTTTAACTAAGAATAATTATTTTTTAGATAACGGTAGAAATAATTCGAAAATATTTGCATCTTTATAACAATTAACTACGCTTACAATCTTCACTCTTTATTAAAACGTAAGTATTGCCATAACATATTTGCATCTTATTAAGTATGCACAATATTCGTATTTTAGTTCTTAAGTATGTCATATTAGCATTATCTCTGTAAGAAATGTTTTAACGTCTATCGACCCAGTTAGCTTGCAAGTTCAAACGAAAATTGTAAAGGAAAGGCATCGTTGGGCCATCTAGCCTAGTTTAGGTAGGTAAGAGAAAAAAAAGGAGAGGGATGAAGGGCATTATATAAGAAGAGACAGGAGGAAAAAGACGGGAAGAGAAGAAAAAGCTAAGGGCAGACAGATTAGATTGAGCCTACAAACGCTCGTGAAGTGATTTTTCGCTACCTCAGAGTACTCCAGAGACGACCAGACACAGAGCAACGTAAGGTCAACGAGACGACGAGCAGTGTTGAACGGCTATCTGACCTCGTCAGCAGGAACGCCTGCTGACTTCAGCCCGTGTGCTCCACAGTGCCTATACGACTGGGAAAAACAGCATCCGCAATCAACCGTAATAACCTGGCTTCAGTTGAATTCTTGTGAATTGCAGTGGCCCTCAAGTAGTCTGCGTTGGTCTTTGAAGTACTTTAGAGTGATTCGTTAGTGTTATGGAATATGACAGGGCGACATAATAAAGCTACTCGCGTGTAAACATAAATATGGAATTCATTTCCTGCATTTAGTTACATAGTTAAACTGCTTGATTGTAAAGAACAAAAAGGATTTGCTTTAGGTTCCGGACAATCTCCAAAAGGTGAGCCTCATCTGAGGTCACACGTGGTGGACTCGCAAAAGGGCGCGTCGGAGAGATGTCTCGTAGTTTTCTCTTCTCGTCCAGAGCTCTGGCTGTCGAGACAAAATGGCTGCTTACTACTCTAGTCGCGTAGTCTCTCCGCCGACTTCCTGTTGCGGCGCTGTGGTGTTATTGACTCGGTGAGTCAAAAGAGCTTTCTTGGCACCAGAGTCTGCTTGCGGCGTCCGCTAGTTGCTGGTGCATCAAGCTGGGGTGCCACAGATACTCCCCCTCTAGCGATTGGCGTGGGCTGCGTTGAGAATGTTACTCGTCGCCAAGGCCTGGGCTGGAAACCTGGGCTGGCTGTTGGGGATAGGCGCTCGATGGGTGTTGTTATAGACGACAGAGGTTGGGCAACCTGCTGGACTATGGCTGCGGGCGAAGATGGTGGTGGTTGCTGTGGAGCTGGTTATTCTGCTGGCGCTGGTTCTGTAGCCTCCAGGAATATCGGTTTCAGTTGATTGGTTGAAACCACCTTCTCCTAGCCGTTTACGTCAATTATAAACGTGCGACGATCTGTGCGGCTGATAATGTGGTGTGGCCCTGTATATGGAGGTTCCGAGGGCTTCCGGATGCTGTCGATTCTTTTCAATACGTAAGTGCACGTTTCAAGCTTCTTAAAGACGAAGGGATAGTAAGGCGAGTGTCTTGCAGCTGGAACTGGTCGGATTGCCCCGAAAAGTTGTCGCAGACTTTTGACGAAGTCCGGTTGGTTAGCCTGGATCGTGTTGGTTACGAAGAATTTGCCTGGAAGGCGCAGAGTTGTGCTGAACAGCAGTTTTTCGGGCGAGGTCGTTTTTGTAGGCTGTTCTGAGCCCTAGTAGGACCATGGGTAGGCAGTCTATCCAGGATTACGAGCAGCTTTTTAGGGCTGCCTTGAAGGTTCTATGGAATCTTTCTACCATACCATTAGATTGTGGGTGGTACGATATGGTGTAAATAAGCTGTGCGCCAATGGCCTTGGCAAGTTCGACGATAAGCGCAGATTCAAACTGCGCGCCGCGATCCGGTGTGATGTTCAACGGCGTTCCGAACAAGCTGACCCAGTGATCCATGAACGTACATGTTAAGTACATGGCCTCATACATGGCTAGCAGCTCTCTGCCATAGGTGCTGTAGTGGCGCTGAGTGTCGTTAAACTTCAGCGAAAAGAAACCTAAGGGGTGCAAGACGTCGTCAATTTGGCGCTGTTCTAGGGCAGCACTGATCGCCGAGTCCGATGCATCCATTCGGAGCGCTAGAGGGGCCTCCGGGTCAAAGAAGGTAGTGCAGGCTGCGTGAGAGATTGCGTCCTTGCATCTCTTGAAGTGTGAATCAGCCTGGCGCGGCGGGTCCAGGTGAGTTGGGCTTTTTTGGGCAGACCTTTTAGCATGTCCTGCAGTGGTGCCTGCATCTCGGCGGCATGTAGAACGCAGTGCTGATAGTAGTTTACGACGCCCAAAAATCTTCTCATCTCCGAGGTAGTCGTCAGCTTCGGGAAGCTCTTAATAGCCTCGATTTTTGCCGGGGGTGGCTGGACGCCGAGCTCGGACACCTGGTATCTGAGGTAAATGACTGTTGGTTTGCCAAAAGCACATTTTCTGCCGTTGATTCGCAGGTAGTTAGAGCAAAGCGTTTTAAAGCTGGCGTAAATGGACCAAATGTTCCTCATGATTGCTCGATGCGATGATGATGTCTCTACGTACGCTCTGGCAAACAGGAGTTTGCGGAGCACATAGTCGATTGTGCGCTGCATGGTCTGAGCTGCGTTGCGAAGGCAATAAGGTATGCCTAAAAATTCAAATAATCCAAAAGATGTTATTACGGCTGTTTTTTGGATGTCCTCGTCGGTGACTGGGACCTGATAAAATGCTTTGCGTAGGTTGATCACCGAGAAAACTCTGCCCTGACATTATTGTAGTAGGTCTTCGATGATGGGCCACGGGTAGCGATCTGGAACTGTGCTGGTGTGGAGGCGTCGGTAGTCGCCTGTGACGTGCCACGAGTTGTCCTTATTGCGTACCATATGCAGTGAGCTGGCCCACTGGCTGTTCGAGGGGCGTATGATGCCTTTGTCCAGGAGCTGATCGAATGCCTGTATGCCTATTTTACCGTGGTCAGCTTTTCGCATATAAGGCGGCGCGGGCGTTCGAAAACTGGGGGCCCAGTTGTGGCGATGAAGTGCCTGACTAGAAAGCCTAGGACCTGGACTGCACTGGAGTTGGGGCGAAATACATCCTCGAATTTTTGCAGGAGCATTTCGTACCTGTACTAAGGCGTGCTGCTGTGAGTGTTGGCAGATGCTGTTGTGGACACTGAGTGCAGCACTGCGTGTGCAACGGTGCCTATTGCAACTATGTTGGTTAGTGGGTCGATGATGCGGCCATTTTTTAAGTCAACCAACAGGCCATACTGCGCGAGAAAATCCGCTCCCAGGATGGCATGAAGAACGTCCGCGATGATGGCGGTGCACGGAAGGTCGCGTCGAAGGCCTATACTGAGTATGATTCGCCGAAGGTTGAAATTGGCGTATGATTAGCGGCGTACAGTTCCAAGTCGTGCTTTTTCATTGGCCTTGGCAGTAGAAGTAAGGACAAAGCGGAGCCGGTGTCGATGAGGAAACGTGTAGCCGTGTTGCAGTCACAGATATGTAGGCACAGGTCTTTTTCGGACCAAACTTCAGCCACCTGCGTTGACACTGAGGCCTTACTGGTTTCCCTACTTCGGCTAGAACGCGCAGGGCTGTTCGCAGGTGTGCGCTTTGTCACCAAAGCAGGCATGGTAAAAGCAATATGTGCTGCCTTGAGGGTCCAAGTAGACGCATTTCTTCGAGCGTGACCTGCTGCGAGAGCGTCCTCTTTGCTGTTGTTGCGACGTCTTGGTTTGCATGAGGTTGTTGAGGCTTATTGTGAGTTGGACGATGGGGATTTCTAACGCTGTTATGCACTCAACGAGCGGGTCCTCTTTGGCCTTGACAGTGTGGACTGCCAGGGCATTTGTTGAGACGTAACCTACTATCTCGTCAGCTGCAGTGACAAGCTCGTCCGTGTTGGTGTGTTTGAAGATTTTCAGCAGGTTCTGTGTTTACTGCGGCAATAGCAATTTCCAACATACGAGAAGCGTTTCATCGCTTATAAAACTTCCTACGAGACTTTTCATTTTTCGCCAAAGTTGCGAGGGCTTCAAGGCGTCGAGCTGCATGTCCGTTAAGACTTTGTGCAGCTTTTGGTCTTCCATGTCAGTAGTGCGCTTTAACAATTAGAAATTGAGTACGATATAAGATAAAAGGTAATGCTAAGAATTTTTCTGTGTTTAAAGTAATTTAGTGAATGAAGACCTTATTTCCCATTTTTTTCCGTTATTACTTTTCCTTTTACATTATACTATTCTTAATCGTATTCTATTACGCAGTCAATATAATAGTCATACATTTCTAAGTAGCATCACGATTGTACCAATTTTTAGGCTCAGTTCATGAGGGGATAATTCTTTTGTGACTTATTTATCACTAGGAGAATTTGATGTGCCACCCTTTAAAGTAATAAATTTATTTCTAAAATATTTTTCAGTATTGCATGAAACTTAGATTTTCTATCTATTATTTCCAATGCATTTTTTAGAATTATTGGAGCTTTATGCTAAAGAATTGAATTAACCTTACCCATTTTATTCACATCTTACTGTTAAGATTTAATGAAAGTCTGAAACTTCTACGACTTTTCATCCATTTTGAAAGTAAAATTTATGTTCTACTGGTTCCTGCCATTAACAAAATTTTTTTTATTTCGAGAAATAAAATAATAAACTGACGTTTTGGATAGATAAGTATGTCGTTTGTTGAATATGTCATTCTGCTCTCAGATGTTTCTATGATAACTTGAGGGTCAGTGCATAAGCACACGATCAGTAAGAGCTAACTTAGGAGCATGAATGAAAAACTCCAAAAAATCAGGTGTTGGTTTCAGACTCGACAGTCTGTAACGATCGTCACAACGATATAGACTGAGCCTATGAGGTTGGCGTTAAGACCAACGAAACGTTGCTCAAACCAACACCTGACTTTTAGGAGTTTTTCATTCATACTCCAAAATTAGCTCTTACTGATCGTGTGCTTATGCACTGACCCTC